AGCCCCTGTTTCAAAGTCTGATTCTCTGCTCTGTTACTTTAAATGCAAATAAGGAAGCCCCCTCCCCACGCCTCTGAGAGAATATTTGGTTACACAAGAACACATGGTGCTCCTAGAGGAAGGTTCAGCGCCGTGATAAGGGGGGGGGGGGGTTACCTTGGTTGCTGATCTGGCTAATGGCTTACTATAAAGCAAAAAATCGGTTATGACATCATAAAGTGGCCAAAATCTGATCAGGCTCCATTTCAGACAGGTTTTTATAGAAATGGATAAGGACAAAGAGAGATGAGAATCTTTTTTTCTGAGACTTTCAGAGCTCTCTTTACACAGAGGGGAACAACTGTTGATGTAGAAGAGACATGAAGAAGAGGGGACACATGTTGATGTAGAAGAGACATGAAGAAGTGGATTTTGCATAATAGGTGACCTTTAAATAATCTTCCGAGACATGACAGAAATATGAGTCCATGCTTACGAGCTCGTCGGCCAGGTCTCTGTAGAACTGGTGCTGGGCCTTGGCGGCCTCCAGCTTGCCCCTGCGCTGCGTCAGAGGGGTGAGGAGCTGCTGGAAGCCGCTCTGCAGGGCCTGCTGCTCCGCCTCCAGCTCCGGCTGCTCCTCTCTGCCCCCCCCGTGCTTCCTCACCGCCTCCTGGAGCTCCTCCAGCTCCCGCGCCCGCTCACGCACCTGGTTCTCCGTCATCTGCCGTGGAGAGACGCCATTACAGCAAAAAAGATGAATAGCCTTTCAAGAAGCCTAATCAGGATGTAGTGGAGGGTAAACCAAGCAAACGTTCTCATGCTGTTATTTAATTCAAACTGAGTTTAGTTTTCAAGCTGCTGATACCATGAAACTTTTACCAACGCAACACAAACTGTTATATCTGAAACATTGGCACATCCTTATATATAAGGCTATTCTTGGTGCTCTTCCCCCTTATCTAAGTATGTACATAAATACAAAATGCACTGGATCCTATCGGCTTCGCTCAGAGAACTTTTTCCTTTTAACTGTACCAAAGGTCCGTACTGAACTTGGGAAAAGTGCGTTCAGTTACGCTGCCCCTCAAGCTTGGAACCTGCTTCAAACTGAGCTGAAACTCAGAGAGCTGGTCTCATTAGAAACACTCAAAGCAACTTTAACTGACCTCGAAGCAGGCTGCTGTGTCTGTAAATGCTTTGGCTAAACTTGGTGTATGACTGTGTTGTGATTGTGTGTTTTTTAATTGTTTGTAACTGTAAAACTGTCTGAAACTGTGCTGTTACCATTCGTGGGCCAGGACTCTCTTGAAAAAGAGATTTTTAATCTCAATGAGACCTATCCTGATTAAATAAAGGTAAAATAAAAAATAAAAAATATCATTTAGAAGACTTATGGTGTGCTAGTTGTTCTCTCCAAGAAGTAAATGTTTTTTGTCATTAAGACTTTACATGAATATATCATCGAATAATGTTCCTGATAAATAGATAGATAGATCTTTAATTACTTTAATTAATTTAATACTTTGGTCGTTGTTATTGTTTGTTTGCGTTCTTTGTAATTCTTTTTTCTCTTTGAACATACAATCATTATAGACCACTGTCTCATTTGTATGCATATATTTTGCTTTCCATCTCTAAATAACAAAAACTGGCTCAAAGTTAATCCTAAAGAATCACATGAGCTCCGGTGAGATTTAACTACACCTGATTAAGAATGTGTATTGTGGACAGCTTTATATGTAGTGTTTTCTGCAGAGATGCAGACCTGATGCTTCTTGAGCAGGATGTTGGCTTTCGTCAGGTCTTTGACGTCCTCCTCCCCGCTCTGCAGCTGCTGCTTCAGACCCCCGAGCCACGTCTTCATGTCCGTGAGGCTCTGGTCGTAAAGCTCGGAGCGGTTTGCGTCGAACAGCAGGCGAGCCTTCTCCTGGGTGGTGGACTCCAGCGTGTCCCACAGCTCGTGAAGTTTGTCCAGACGCTCCTTCACGATGGGCTCCAGCTCAGGTTTGGACTCCATGAGCTCCTGACCCTCCTGCATGCAGCAAAACAAAGACAGATGATGATGATGCTGTTACTAAAAAATGCTCCACTTGAGACAAAATATCACCTGAAGTCTTTCAAAGAAGTAAAAAATAAGAAAATAGTTTCTAGTAATGTTTGTAAAATAAGGAGAAAACAAAGGCTTTGACGTTTAATCGTGTTTTACAAGGTACTTATCCTTAGTCAAAGTATTACATACAGTAGACGGTAGCATGGAGTTTGGAGGGATAGACAGGACTACTGGCACACAAGATTAGCTACATCCAGTCCTTTCTGACGTGGAACTAAATTCATGATGCTCTTTCTAAAGTGACCAAACTACGTTGACAAAACAATCAAATGATCTCGATAAAACAGGGGTTTCAG